TTTACCTAAAAAATAAAATAAAACTAAAACCCAACTTAATCTTAACCCAAATTATACCTAGAAAATTAAATTAATTTACCCTAATAATTATTACAACTAATTAAATACCAAATTAAAGGAAAACCACAAAATTCAAATCTAAAAATTGAATAATGCAAAACAAATTATTTTTTGTGATTTTTCCATTTTTGTAAAGCAACTAAATTACTAATTGATTTATAATGCAAAATGCAAATGCAACATATTTTTTTTTTGTATTTTTCATGAATTAAATAAAATAAACATGCACAGACAAATGCAAACAATAACAAAATGCTACGAAAATCCACGAAATTGCAAACAAATGGAAAAAAATTATTTTGTTTTGCATTTGTGGGAGTAATTCATATAGGGCAAAAATCACGTGCTCACAGCTGCCCCTCTTTGCTCGGAAACACGAAGAGTTTCCGTGCAAAGATAAAGTGAGCGGATACGAGCGAATTTTGCCTGTTTGAATACTCCGTGGGAAGCATTCTTGAAAGATTTGACCGCACCCTGCTTCCGAGGTTGCCTACATATCCTTGGCTATAAAGGAATCATGTCAGTGTAGTTCGGGAATTTTCGGTAGCTGGGACTACCATGAAGCTGTGATTTCACTGTTGTTGTTGCTGCTGCCTCCTTACTAAACTCCTTATTACACCATGAAAAAATAAAAAGAAACTAGACTAAACTATGATCTATGCATTACAACAATCCTATCTATATCCTCAAACTTGATCTTGTGGTTCCTGTTGCCTTGTTGACTCGTATTCTCCAGGTGAAGTTCCTTTGTTGCCGACTTGAATTGTAATCTGAGATGCTTTTTTCCTTCTCTCCAGGTGGGCGCCCTGATTACTGAACTTGAACCATCTTCCTTTGAACATTGCTGCTTTCCCTTCATTCTCTAGGTGGGCTCCTGATTACCGACGCTTGATTTGCTTTGTTCTCCGGGTAGGCTCCTGACCGACGCTTGATTTGCTTTGTTCTCCAGGTGGGCTCCTGATTGCTGACGCTTGATTTGCTTTGTTCTCCAGGTGGGCTCTTGATTACCGACGCTTGATTTACTTTGTTCTCCAGGTGGGCTCCTAATTATCAACACTTGATCTGCTTTGTTCTCCAGGTGGGCTCTTGATTACCAACACTTGATCTGCTTTATTCTCCAGGTGGACTCCTGATTACCAACACTTGATCTGCTTTGTTCTCCAGGTGGACTCCTGATTACCAACACTTGATCTGCTTTGTTCTCCAGGTGGGCTCCTGATTGCCAAAACTTCAACTGTATTCCCTTGCTCTCCAGGTGGCGCCTGATTGCCAAAACTTCAACTGTATTCCCTTGCTCTCCAGGTGGGCGCCTAATTGCCAAAACTTCAACTGTATTCCCTTGCTCTCCAGGTGGGCGCCTGATTGCCAAAACTTCAACTGTATTTCAAAATCACTTATTCAAACTCGAATAGACTAAATGAGTATTCTAGATTTCAAATACCAATTCTAAGTTTTAGAAAAAGAAATATTCACATACACTTCAAAGGTAAATCAATGCATGTTTTTGCCCCTTTTAAGTAGACTAAACCGTTTCCCTTTCTCATAACATGGCATCATACTAATTATTATCTAAGAAAACAATCAAACTACCTCTTGCATAAACATAGCACTATGTTATAGCATTCAAGTGAATTGTATCCCAATACAACATATACTTTTTTTCTCTTTTGTTGTACATTAGGGTTTCAGCTCTTGACTGGTTCTTCATCCGCCTCATTTGTGGATTGTGGTAATGGCTGAAGAAGACAATAGTGGAGTAACAGAGGCTCTGCCTCCTCCTCCCCCTATTCCACCTGATTTCTCTCCAGCAAAAGCGGAACCAGAGCCGGTGAAGAAAAAGGTTTTACGTGTTCCCATGGCTAGGCGTGGCCTTGGAAGCAAGGGACAAAAGATTCCGATCCTTACCAATCACTTTAAAGTGAACGTGTCTAATGTTGACTGACACTTCTTTCATTACAGCGTCGCCCTATTTTATGAGGATGGTCGACCTGTCGAGGGAAAAGGAATTGGCAGAAAAGTTCTTGATAGAGTGCATGAAACATATGATACAGAATTGGCTGGGAAGGATTTTGCATACGATGGGGAGAAAAGCTTGTTCACCATTGGTTCACTACCTAGAAATAAATTAGAGTTCACAGTTGTCCTAGAGGACGTCATATCTAATCGGAACAATGGGAACAATGGCAACTCTAGCCCTGGCAGACATGGAAGTCCAATGAAAATGATAGGAAAAGATTAAGGCGGCCGTACCAATCAAAATCTTATAAGGTGGAGATTAGCTTTGCTGCCAAGATTCCGATGCAGGCAATTGCGAATGCTTTGCGAGGTCAAGAGTCTGAGAACTCTCAAGAAGCATTGAGAGTTTTGGATATAATTTTAAGGCAACATGCGGCCAAACAGGGTTGTCTGATTGTTCGACAGTCCTTTAGTTTCCATAATGACCCAAAGAATTTTGCGGAAGTTGGAGGTGGTGTTCTTGGCTGTCGAGGGTTCCATTCAAGTTTTCGAACCACTCAGTCTGGATTGTCTTTGAACATTGATGTGTCTACCACGATGATAATCCAGCCTGGACCTGTTGTTGACTTTTTGATTGCGAACCAAAATGCAAACGATCCCTTTTCACTTGATTGGGCGAAGGCAAAACGTACCTTGAAGAATCTAAGGGTGAAGACTGCTCCCGCTAATCAAGAGTTCAAAATAACTGGATTGAGTGAAAAATCGTGTCGCGAGCAGACGTTTACTCTAAAGCAGAGGAGCAAAAATGAGGATGGTGAAGTGCAAACATCGGAAGTGATAGTTTATGATTACTTTGTTAATCATCGTAACATAGACTTGCGATATTCCGCTGATTTACCGTGCATCAATGTTGGAAAGCCCAAGCGTCCCACCTATTTCCCTGTCGAGCTCTGCTCGTTGGTCTCATTGCAAAGGTACACAAAAGCCTTGGCCACCTTTCAGGGGTCCTCCTTGGTGGAGAAGTCTAGGCAAAAGCCTCAAGAGAGAATGCAAATTTTGAGCAATGCTCTACAAATCAACAATTATGATGCTGAGCCTCTGCTTCGTGCTAGCGGCGTCTCAATCAGTAGCAACTTCACCCAGGTTGAAGGGCGTGGTCTGCCTGCCCCTAAGTTGAAGGCAGGAAATGGAGATGACCTTCTCTCACGAAATGGCAGGTGGAATTTTAATAATAAGAGATTCTTTGATCCAGCAAAGGTAGAGCGTTGGGCTGTTGTCAACTTTTCTGCACGCTGTGACATACGTGGCCTAGTCAGAGATTTGACAAGAATTGGAGAGATAAAAAACACCTGAAAAGCTAAAACGGCTGGAATTCTTTAGAAAGTTCTGAAATTCTTGCATTCCATTGTTGAAGAACTATCAAAATTCTGCTCATTTGGAGTTCTGATTTCTCTTGTGTTAGTTAAAATTCTCCAAAATTTCATAGTTATATTCTGATTTGAGAAATGGTTTGAGCATGGCTTGAGGATTAAGTTCTGGTTTACTACTCTTCTACTGTTCGATTGGCTGTTTTTGGGCTTAGTGTTGCTGGGTGTTTTCATGTTGTTGGGTTCTTGTTCTGCTGCTGTCTACTGCTTCCTCACTTCTTTTTCCTTTCAATTTCCAGGTACATGCTCTTGAAACTTGTATAATGTGATGCTCAAGTCGAAGAATGAAATGGAAATAGAATTTTGAAGCATAGCATTAAGTGTCTTGTTCATAACTTAGCCTTACTTTCTTTGTTCTTCTTTGTCTCTGAAATGTTGTTCCTGCTTTCTTGGAAATTATCAGATTTATAGACTAGTTTAATTTTCCCTTCATCATGTTTACTCTTGGCTGTTTAGCCTTAAGCCTGCTTTGTAATATTGGGTGAACTATGGACTTTAGCCCTTAAATGAGTTTGAATTCGTGTGAAGGGGTCCTTAAGGCTATAGTTGCAGAAGTTTCATGTCAATTTGTTATGTATTTTGGACTTTGTTTAGTTTTGGCTGAAATCAGTGGTTTTCTAGTGTGGAATTTATGATTAAGCTTGTTGAAAATGACAGTTTGTTGGTTTGCTTATATAGAATAGGCTCTATTAGTACGAGATTCATTTGAGGTTTGAATTCTCATATCTTTATTTCAAGTTAGTTTAAGGCTTTGAAAGCAAAAGTTGCCTACTGCATAGTTATTAAAATCGGACCTTCAATTGCTCTTAAAATGCATGTCATATAAATTGAAAGCTTAGCTAATAATCAAAACTCAGAGTTAAATGCCAGTGTAATTTCATATGGTTTTTGTTTGATTGGTATTTGATTGATTTTGCATAAGTTTTGGTTCTGAAAATTGGGCCTAAAGCTGACCCAGTTATGGCAGTCAAAAATCAGAACTGGTTTGCATAAAATCCGCTCTTGGACGCCCCTTTCGTCGCCAAAAATTGGGCTCATTCTTGGGCCCAAACTTGAAAGCTCCTGCGAATGGGATTTGGACCACTTCGTTCTTGATTGGACTATTAGTTGTTTGTGCTGGCTCAAACCCCCTTGTTTAAATGATTTAACTTTTCTTTATGTAAGCCTTTTAGTTAGTTTGAGTGAAACCCTTAATTGTATTTAGCGTTTAATCGATTAGGTCCTTAAATTGGAGGTGTGCTATATTAGGCAAGACATAGTTTATGGCCCTCCAAAATTTAGTTAATTCCCTTTAAAATTGGAATTGAGGTGCGCCGTGCCAAATAAAATTTTAAAATGCATGGCCTCGGTTAATTGATTTTAATCCTTAGAAATCGAGGCGTGTTATTTAGTTGAATTTTCATGGCCCTCGCAAACTTGAAAGTGCGTGGTTGCTTTAGGCGCGCTATTTTAAAAATTACCTTCCTAAACTCGGGTGTGCATTTATGTGACCCAAATCCAAATCTCAACAATGTTAGATAAAATATGTCGAGGACCGTGGGTGCATTTATGTGATGTGGTTCAAGACGTGTTTTAATAACGTTGAAATCTTCCTAAAAAAATAATTAAATAAAAGCGGCTAATAAGTTAAAATTAAACCATAGGTTAAAACATGTATTAAAATCACATAATAGGCCAATTATAACAGTTGAGCAACCGTGCTAGAACTACGGAATGCGGGAATGCCTAACACCTTCTCCCGGGTTAACAGAATTCCTTACCCGGATTTTTGTGTTCTTGGACTGTAAAACAGAGTCAATTTTTTCCTCGATTCAGGATTGGAACCGGTGACTTGGGACACCATAAAATTATCCCAAGTGGCGACTCTGAATTTTTAATGATCCCAAATAGTGTCCCAAGTCACCAAGTCACCACTTTGGAAATTTTATGGTGTCCCAAGTCACCGGTTCAAATCCCGAATCGAGGAAAAGATTGACTCTGTTTTACAGTCCGCGAACACAGAAATCCGGGTAAGCAATTCTGTTAACCCGGGAGAAGGTGTTAGGCATTCCCGGATTCCGTGGTTCTAGCACGGTCGCTCAACTGTTATAATTGGCCTATTATCTGATTTTTAATACATGTTTTAGCCTATGGTCCAATTTTAACTTATTAGCCGCTTTTAATTATCTTTTAGGAAAATTGCAACGTCATTTAAAATACGTCTTGAACCACGTCACATAAATGCACCCGCGGTTTCCGATATATTTTATCTAACATTATTGAAATTTGGATATGGGTCACATAAATGCACACCCGAGTTTAGGAAAGTGATTTAAATTACGCGCCTAAAGCAACTACGCATTTTTAACTTTGCGAGGGCCATGAAAATTCGCTAATGGCACACCTCGAATTCTAGAGGATTAAAGTTAATTAAGCGAGGGCCATGCATTTTGAGATTTTATTTGGCATGGCACACCTCGATTCCAATTTTTAAAGGAAATTCAAACTAAACTTTGGAGGGCCATAAGCTATTTGTGTTACCTAATATAGCACACCTCCAATCTACTTTTAAAAGCCCAATTAATTAATTAAGAACGATTTAAGGGAATTATAATCAATCTAAACTAGAACCCGGACTTAGTCCATTTAAGCAAGCAGACTGCCAATAAACGAAATCTAGTCCACTTCAAAGCCCGGGCCTGAAGTCAAGCCCATTAGCTTATCCAAACTGCCGAAGCTGCCGAGTTGCTGATTTCACAAAGGTTTAAATTAGGCCCAAAAGGGAGCCCAACTCTGGAGACACCATATTCCCACAGCTGAGACTCGAGATCGAGTCCTCTCAATGGCAAAAGGAAATAAAAAAATTATTCAAATTCAGAATAGAAACGCCTTCAACCCATAACACCCCTTCCAACAATTTCCCACATTCAATCATATATCAATCAACCACATGAAACATGCGAATAATTTACCATTTAGCTTCCAGATTTTAACTGTTCCAACATGGAATGAATAGATAAACATTATGAATAAAAAAAACTCAAAATGAAGCAATCGGGTGAGCATGCTTGACTCAGTTTTTTTTAACTAGTTTTACAAGGTAATCCCAAGCTACTTAAAACCTTGTGATTGACAAGTGAAGATCCTACAGAATTAACCCAATAAACTACTAGGAATATGAACTATAACCTCAAAACTAAGATAATTTCCAAGCATCACACAAGTAAGTCAGCATGAATTTACAAACTATTACTCAACACTTTAACAGACTCAACTGGAAATCGACACTGAAGCAGAACCGGTCATCAGCAGAAATCAAATGAAAGTTAACAAATCCAAAGCAAATAAATTGAATCTTTCCTTACCATATGTTTAACAGTCCATTCACACACCATCTAATTCGAAATTACTCAGATCAAAGGGCTAAAACCCATAGTCCATCCAAAATTATAAACTCAGCTTAGAACTAAACAGAAAAGATCAAATATAACAAGAAGACCAAATTAATTATAAAATCTGATTTGATTTTCGGTAATGTAAACCACTACATTCACACAGCTTGCAACTCAATCACATAAACTCTTGTTCTTCCATTTCTCATGTCAGAGAGAGGGGAAATACCTGGTAACAATCAACAAAACAAAAGAGAAAAATGAGCTGGGAGCAAAGCAGAAGTAGCAGCAGTGGACCAGTAAGAAAACCAACAATGGAACAGTAAACCCAAGAACCAAAAGCTTCAAAACCAGATCTTCAAGTCCCAAAAATCAAGCCATTTTTCAACCAAGTGCAGAATCTAGACTTTCAGGGAATTCTATCTAGTGAAGATGATCAGAAATTCAACACTAAACAGAGCTTTTTTGAGCAATTTTCACAAAGAAAATACAGGGAAATCAGTGTTATCCAAGTATTCCAGTCGTTTCTATTTTTTCCAGAATTCTATCTCTTAATTCTCTAAAAAAAAATTCCTTTTTTTTGGACACAAATTCTCTATTAAGGAAAAATCTTTAGTCTGGATAGCAATACTCATTTAGTAATTTTAGAGATTGGAGAAAATTAAAAACGGCTGAAAAATACTGAAAGGGTTTGAATAATTAGAAAAATACAAAGACAAATCACAGAATTACTGTTACATTGAAGTTTTTTCTGCAATTCTTGGGGTTTTCAAGTTTGAAAGTAATCTCTGAGTCATTTTGGGCTCGAACTGGTGTTAAGAAGCTGGATTTGCTATTGTTGGACTGCTGAAGTGCATCTGCTTCTGCTGCTGATCTTCTCACCTTTTTCTTTTGCTCTAATTGCATCAGGTATTCTCTCGAAACTATGGTGGAAATTAAGCCTGATTAAATTTTTGGTGTAAAGATCTGTGAACCGAGCTGAAGTTTAAATGAAAAACACTAGTTCCTGTTGTAATTACTGCTCGATTATGCCATTTTATTGTTCATGCTTTTAGTCTAGTTTATTTTGGATATTTCTTTCCTGGATGTACATTTGATTTAAATGTTGGGTGGACTTTGTCTGAATATAGGTGGTTCAAGAATGTTTTAAACCTAGTATAATCTGTGTTAACTGAAGATTATGATTCCTAATTTAATTAGTTAAGGCTGGATGGTTTGGATGTATGTTTCATGGCTGTGGTTCGAATTACAAGTTTAGAACCTTCATGTTGTTAGTCTAGCAAGCATGGTTTGGGTTTATTTCCCACTGTTCATTTTAGATCTGTTCCTGTATAGCTTGAAATACAGTACAATGGTTTTTGAAATCTAGATTGACTCTGTTTTACAGTTCGCGAACACAGAAATCCGGGTAAGGAATTCTGTTAACCCGGGAGAAGGTGTTAGGCATTCCCGGATTTCGTGGTTCAAATAGCATGGTCGATCAACTATTATAATTGGCCTATTATCTAATTTTAATACATGTTTTAACCTATGGTTCACTTTTAACTTATTAGCC